CCCCAAAACCCCAAAACCCCAAAACCCCAAAACCCCTTTGCTAAGTGCAAAAATAGAATTCCATAATAAGTGCAGAATATTTAAATTTTTGATATTTAAACTATTTTTACGATTTAATTTTCTTAGAGTCTTCCCTAGTTTTGATATCCTCAACAGGGTTTTGGTAATCCTTAGTATCTCCTTTGAATACGGCTCTGTAGAGCATATTGAAGAAAAGTATCTGCCAGTAACAGTTAAGTAGCAGAAGAATCATCAATAAAACCTGCATTGAAGTTTGGTGACTTGTATTTTGATCAAATCTCCACCTACCAATCATGGAACCTTCTATGATAACTTCCTTGGCAAACACGATAATTCTTAAGTAGACCCAGAAGATGTTCATGACCACGAAGAGAGGGACTCAGATGAGAGGGCTCCAGATGTCGTTGATACACCTAAGAGATCCTACGAATATTTCTCCTACGTCCATTTGAAGCATCACATTGATTCCACTGTTCCAAAAATTTGTCATATATGACCCAATAATTAGCATAATTGTGATATAATGATGAAGGAGCATTTCAAAGAAATCTTTTTGAGCCGAATTTAAGAACAGATGGATCATATCGGAAGTGTGGTAACTGATTCCAGCCATGTAATAAAGCTTCAAGAGTCTTGGCTGCTTGTTAAATGGCCAGTCTGAGTCAAGATACATCATATTTCCTTCCCCAAACATATAAGAGGAGTGATAGTTAGTGTCTGAATAAACATAGTACCCAAAAGACACCATTCCTCAGTAATAGAAGAATTTGAAACAGTTTTTGGTGGCCTTATGCACTTTTAGATCTAAGGCTTCACCTTCAAATTTCTTTTGGAATCTGCTTCTAAAGTAGCCGCTTGTAATCTTGCTAGTTAAGATCTGTCCAAGAAAAACTAAAGGAGTTAGGTAAGCTACAAGCATGTAGTCATACCAATCAGTATTATCATAATCAGGCCTCTCTAGTCTTCTGTATCTAGCAAAATCTTCACAACAGTTATACAGGATTGGAATGACAGACAGGAGAGCAAAGAATATCATTAAAAAGATAAACTGTTGTCCTGTAAGACTATCCCTTACGCTATAAAGCCATTTTATCATGATTATGTTTATTAGTATTATTCGAATTACCTCACATTTAAATATGGGGTTTTGGGGTTTTGGGGTTTTGGGGTTTTGGGG